AAAGAAGCATGTCCATATTTGCACAATAAACCTTTTGATGGTCCTGTATATGTTTAGATCTTCTTCTTTTTTTTTGGTCACTGGACAAAAAACTGTCCAAATTAGAAAGCATTGAAGAGCTACGGGTGTTTGTCATTTCAACTGATACGAATGTGCATTGGAAAAACGTGAAGAAGCTGAGAACCCAGCTAGAGTCATCCTGCGCAAGCACCGTTATCAAAATAGGGCTTTTATTTTTCTTGGAATTTTGATTACTTTAGCTGCTGGCTCTTTATAGGCTCTGAAATTTAGAAGTGTTCTTATCACCTGTGACATGCAAATACAGATATCCAGGAATAGTTTGGTGATAGTAACTGCATGTACTCCTAAGGAGCAGTACATGTTGGGCAACCAGTTTTCAAAGATGTTGATGTAGACAGAATGAACGCCAGAAATACACTTAACTGGTGTTGTGATGATGTATTTTTCTGTAGTAAGCTGATTGTTGTCAGCCTAACAGTGGAACTGCATACAGTGGAAATAATAAATACTTTCAGCCCCAAGATTTCCATTAGACATGCACTAATTCCAGTTTTTTATTTTATTTTGAGTGATTCAGTTTTTCTTTCTAAGACGGCATACTCAGTCATTCCTGTAGCTTATCTTTAATTGACTGATGACTTAAGTTTAGTAACATTTATCCTTTGATGACTTGCACTCTAAATCGGCGAGTTGAACAGATTGTGTTTGAGTTTAAGCTAATGAATGTTGAACAACAGCTACCTTTACTGAGATTCTTGCAAAAAGAGAGGAGACTTTGGAATGAATTAAGTCTACGCAGATTTCTAAGAATGATCGAAATGAGGAATCAGATTACTGACCAATCATAAGGTGCATGTCCATTTCCAGTCTTATGATGGGAAGCTAAGGTCCGTGGGGTTCCAGCCTTGAGTTTTAGTTTCTTTTTTTAAATAGCTTTTGAAGTCAGTGAAATATAGAGTGTATGTGACATAAGCAGTCTCCACACAGTCATATAATTTTACTAAAGTGTCAAACTCAAAGAGCTGACTCCAGAGGAACCTGTGTCAGGCCTCCTCGTGAAAGAAAGCCAGCCTGGCTGCAGAGAGTAGATAACAAAAAGAATTATTAGCGGTGCAGAATATGTGTTTGACTGACTGCTACTTTGCTGTCCACCTTTTAATCCACCTCTCAAAATTGATTTTCCTCTGATGTTCATACATCTCTTTGATAAGGGGTGAACCGAAATATTCAGTCTTTAGAGGTAGAGATGGATTGGCTTGACTATGACTCTGCAAATTCTGTTGTTATTTCCTTATTCTGGGACAGGGTGAAAGGATTATTCTTATACAAAACTGAACTTTTAAAACTTCAAATGTGTCTTTTACTTCTGTACCTTTATTTGTTATTAGCAGAGAGAAAAGATAAGATGATATGTAAACCCTTCCACAACCCACAATCACAGGGCTCTTATCTGGAACCAAATATTTGGCCACAACTGTTTGAGTGGACTGCCTGATAAGTTGTTTTGTTTGTCCAACACAGATAAAAGTGAAAGGATTCAAGTGTAGCTACAGACAGACCGTCTTTTACAACAGCAACTTCACAGTTTATTTTGCATCCGAGGAAAATTAGAAAAGATTGGTTAAACCTAAAACCAAATACAGCAAAGAGAAACATTTGATCTATAAGGTACTTTTTTTTTTCTGCCAGTTCACAGCTTCCATCTGTCTCATAAGAAGTGTTGATTATATTGATTTTTCTCATTGCAGTAATACAGTTTTAGTTCCATGGTTAGACCAGAAAAAATTGATGACTGGCAATAAACTACCAGAGAAATGAGGTTGTGTTTATAGTTGGCAAGGTTTGTTGTGTTTGCTATTTCAGCTACAGAGATTTCCATGCAAATCCTTTATCTTTCCTCTGCTTGTCTGAACAGTTCCTTGCTTGTCTGGATAGTTTTACTTGCTTAACACAAATGGAAACATTTGCCACCTCCAGAGTTTTGATTTCCTTGATGATATCTGAACGTCTGCTTGATCTAAAAGGCGGAAATGGCCATGCAATCTAATGACCTTGCTCTACTTTAGAGGCAGAAAAGGTTAACAGTTAGTAATGGTGCAGTGAGTGACTTGGGCGTGCTAATGGACTTAGATGGAGAAGCATTACTCATGCAGCTGAGTGATGACATACCAGCCGGGCTGAAGCAGCCAAAATTATACCAAAGCCACCACGCTCCAGCAGTTGTGACATCATTTTTGACGTGCCATTTGAAAGGAAGTCATTGGTGAACTTAAGCGTCCTGCTAGGATTTGTACAGTCTTTACGCATAGCACTATTTGAACTTAGCATTCTTAGTCCACTCTTCTCTGTTGAAGGTAAAAATGTACTGTAGGTGATGCAAGGACAGTTGATCAGAGTGTGATGTATGGAGTTTGAATGCCAGGTCAAAACCGTGAGTTTCTTCTTGTGTTTCCTTAGCTGTTTCAGAACAGTTTGTGTGATGTGACAGGGCTCATTAGTCTACCAGTGAAGGTCACTGCTATGGTAGATACACGACAAATGTATAAATCCTTTCCTAACATTCAACTTTTATCAAATAACTGTCTGAGCAGGTGTCGATTCAACCTTCCCGTCATTTTGTAGGCTGTAATCCCATCTCAAACTCAGCCTGTAAAGACCTTATAACCAGGATTCTAACATAAATAAACTCAGTGTATCACAATGATAACTCAATCAGAAAAGCTTAGCAGGCAGTTTATTGGCTGAACCAGCACAAGCATTGAAATTGAAAGGAATTTCATGGACTCTTATCAACTGGGAAACAGAAAATATGTCACTTATCTTTCCTTTCCACTGCCTGTTCACAGAACTATTGAATTGGAGACTGTTTTATAAATTCTGCACTCACCCTGCCTTTCCTTATGGATTGATAACACTGTTTTGCTTTGGTCCCATTTGGCACAGACAGGCGTGCTATGATTCCACCCCAGGGTCTCTCTGGGAATGTGGGAATGTTGGGAAAGAGAAAAAAGGGAGGATTAATGCAACTTGTGAAGGGCTCCTGCAAGCCCCTATTTTTATCTTGAGCGTGTGCCAGTGTCTGCTAAGTGGAAGGGAGACCACACACAAATAGCAGCCCCCCCCCTCTTCTGTTAAATCACACACTGTCACAATCTTTTCTGAAACTAGTTAAAATGTCCTTGAATCATTGTGTACTACTTATTTTACCACACTGATTAGTGTTTTTGTGCTACACCTGGTTTGTCACTGAAATCACAGTTTGAGTGGCAAAGTAAACTGGCTCTATGTAGGAGCACAGGGCCAGCCTGGCACCAGGCCACAACAGATGGCCATGAGTTTCACTTACAACACAACACACTGGCAGGCAGGAGTGGTGATAACATTTCTAATAATAATAATAATAATAATAAAAAAATTCCCAGTACCCTAGGTGACCCCCTTCAGCGCCTGAAGCTGTTTTGATTACATGTGAATCAGAGTCTGGAGAATGAGTGTGTGCGAGGAGAGATAGCTGTGATGGGATAGAGATGTTGTTAAACCATCAGCCCTACTTTCGGTCTCTCTCTCTCTCCTTGTGTCCTGACAGAGAGCTATGGCTGACTGATGAGTCATCCTCACAGGAAGGCAAGCTGAATCCGTGCATTACCTAGAAGATTTAACATTTAATTACTCCAACCTCAAATAGATTTGCAACTGTTATTCCAAGGCAGATGAGGTACTTTATGTAGCCAAGTGGACTGTCATCACTAAGTGGGCCTAGAGAGAGTCATCACAGGAACACTGAGTTCCTGACCTGTTCAGATATATTTTTTAATTCATAATTGAATGTGTATAAATATTTTGGGACACTTGGAAAAACCTCCCTTGGAATTTATTGGTCTTTATCTCATTTGAAGCCGTATAATAAATTATAGTGTTATTATACAATTTGTTCTTAAAATCTTATTTTAAACTGTTATTTTAATTGTTAAAGCTATCTTTGAGCCTTTAGCAGCAGTAAAGACACAAAAACAAAAAAAACAAACAGTGTTCGTCATCCTCCTGCATTGAATAATAAACAACCACTCCATTTTTGTCATCTGCAACACCGCATTTTTCTTTGTATTGAACAGTAAGAGTCTTTGTGAATCATAGTCGTCTAGCAGGAAGTGCCTGGATGAAGTGAGTATAGCAAAGTGGCTCTTGAAAAAAAAAATTGAGTGATTGATTTGTTTTTCTTTCTTGTCTGCATCTCTGGCTCAAGCTGATCACAATTTAATCCAACAGGGCTGGTGGGAAAAGTGGGTCAGGAGGAAGTTTAGTAAACTTGGCCTAAGAGTTGTTGACTTTTTTGTGGAGTATCTCACTGCAGAGGGAAGTTTCCTTGGGGGGGAGCTGGTGTGGGTGAAAGGAAGCAGAATTGTGAAATAGTTGTATAGCCGTGAAAGAGGAAAGGAATTTTGTGTGTGTGTTTGTGTGCATTTTCTTTGTGTGTGTTTGTGTGGGGTTTTTTTTCCTGATTAAACATTATGTGTTACTGTGTTCGATTGCTTCGTTGTATTTCACCCATCCTGGATCACAGCTTAACAGCTCCCACTTAAAAAAAAAACAAAAAAACAAATTTTTCCTCATCTTATTTAATCATAAACACGGCAGTGAATCCCATAAGCCTCTCTGCTCAGCATTTTAATGTGTATTATCATGCTCAAACAGCATTTGCAGGCTTCACTAATGGTACTTTGTGGCTTGTCAAAGCATCTGTGCTATGCCATCTTTTAGAAGGAATTTGCCCATTAACCAGACAGTATGAATTGTAAAGCAGCAGCACTTTTGTGTATCATCTGTTTACAAAAGGGCCATAGATTTTTCCCTAAGGGGACACAAAGCTGAATAGAAGTAGCCTTGAACACTGAGATTCCTCATCAAGTAATGAAGGTGCTCTTGTACTTGTGCCTTTACTCGGGTCTTTTTCTCAACCTCTGTTGTTTTCTTTTCCACAGGCTTTGCACCCTCACACTGAAAAAGCTGGTCGTCCTCAAAGAACTGGATAAAGAGCTGAACTCTCTGTCTATAGCTGTCAAAATACAGGTGGGTGGGTTAATCTCCCTAGTGTGATTGGAATAACAGGCTCAGTTGTAAGATCGCGGTGTGTCACCATCTGGAGTCTGTGCTTCACTGCTTCCTCTTTACTTGATGCTGTTGAATGTAATTGCAAAGCCTAGACACTGAGAAGACAAGCTAGTAATCCTGCTGGTTGATTAAAAAGAAAAAACCTCCCTAGGTGAACAGGAAGCTGTGGTGAGTCACGTGCTCTCAGGTTCCTTAAATGGCAGACTGGCATTACCATGCTAAGCAGTAGCATTAGCACCTTAAGACGGATTGTGTATCTTTCATTGATTGCTTGTGCATGCACTCCTCGCCTAATCTCGGTGTTATTCAACATTTCCGTTCAATATATTGTATGGAGGTTACTTTGTGTGTGATTTTAATGTCAGGTTTAAAAAAGCTGAGTGTTTTGGACAGTTTTTTTTTTAAACAAATTAATTCTCTGTCAAAACAACGACCCCTAAAATATATGAATATGAACAAGTGTTTGTTTGGTTTTTAGACCAAATCGCGTCAACAGAGACCTCACTTAACATGATGAAGCCTGGGTTTACATGGAGATTAAAGTACAAAGTTGTACTGTCATGGTCTTTTCTTACTATTTCCAGTTAAATGTATGAGA